TTAGCTTGGGATCACTTGTGGTCCTAGGTCCCGTGTCCGCGTCTTGGGGGTAGCTTGGGGCGTGACAATATATATCAGGTAAAAATGATCTTTTGCTATCTTCTTTATGGAGAGCACATGAAAATGTGCCTTCAGTTTAGATACTTTCCCTCAATACTATAAATATAGCACACTAGATGAATGAAATGGGAAAGGAAAAAACGAACAGAACCAAGCGATACATCTAATAAAGTGGGACTATGTCACTTTGAACAAGAAAATAGTAGGTTTAGGAATAAATAGAATAAGTGTAACAAATTGTAGCTTACTCATGAAGTGGTTATGAACATATAATGTGAAATAAGAAGCCCTTTGGAGAAAGATGATTACAAAAGTGTGGGGTAGAAAAATTTAATGGTGCATAAATAATTTAATGTACGGTCTTTTCCAAGAGGAACTGCTTCTCCAGGATACCCAAAAGAGTGGGAGGTGCCTGGGCTCGTTCCTCCCGATAAAATAGAAGGACAACCGGTGTTGAAGCTCCGCTCTCCTTTGGATATCAGGAAGGAGAGGGCGTTCTAATTCCGGAACCAGAACGGCGAGTGAAACCCCAAAACCTCAAATCCCCTAATGCCTATCAAATAAGAGTCCTACCGAGGATCCGGTGTCTAAGGTGTCTAGGATTTCTCCCAAAAGTAAGTAGGAGTGCTCTTCCTTTCAAGCCTTCTGCCACGGCTTTCGCGCTAGCGCGCTTAATCAATCCGATGCTTCTTTCCTAATCCCATCGGCCATAACGTGGTCTATCTGGGTTGGTCTAACTCCTTGGCTTGGATATGGTTATTATTCCCGGGTCACAGTAAGAAAGGATAAGCTATATATAAATAGGAGGCTACCCTAAAACCCTAATCCATGCCTATATAAAATAAAGGGGCTACATATTCTCTTTGGAGGCATCTTGAAAATTCCATAACATCTTGGAAGATTCACAAGGAGATCAAGACATCGACTACATCGTCTTCGAACTCACCTTCTTTTTTCTATTTCATAGCCTCTTCCGTATTCTCAATCGGAATAGCCAGGCCAACAATCTTTTTCTTTTATTAGGAACCGAATCCGAAAGAGACGCAGCAGCAAGAGGTCCTGAATCAAATAGAGCAAGCAAGTCCGTCTGACCGGCGATTACTAGCGATTCCGGCTTCATGCAGGCGAGTTGCAGCCTGCAATCCGAACTGAGGACGGGTTTTTGGGGTTAGCTCACCCTCGCGGGATCGTGACCCTTTGTCCCGGCCATTGTAGCACGTGCTTTGAGAGAGATGGGAGAGATATCTTTTTGCATATCTCGTATCCAAAACCTCTTAGCAAACTCAATTGTTCCATTTTCAGATACTATTGATTTAGCAAATGAAATGGTGATCTTTCACTTCACCATAGCAGGAACCTCACTAGCCTTCTCGGCCAGTTAGTCTAACCACAGGGATCCCTTCCTGCTTATCCACCCATTGCATTCCATCGTCTTGTATTGTACTGTGCCGTATCAGACCAGATAGATCTATTGAGTGAGAGAAAGGGAGAAAACTCTAATTAGATATTCTTTTTCTATTGATAGGGATCCCCATTCATTCCTAGATTCCCGTCACTACGGACTTATTGTCCCTACCTAACTACATGGTAGTGGTCTAGGGAGCGCAATTGCTAGAGCACGGGAGAATTAAGAGTAATGATTTCAGCAAGAGCAGCCAGACGGACTACTATAGTGAGTCTAGTGACTACTAGAGTAGAGTTAAGTCAAAGGGTATGGTATAGTAGCCTTTCGCTCCTATGTCAATGGTTGGGATAGCTGGCTTACCTTCTTAGTTAGGACATTCAAGCTTCCAGTCTAATGACTGGACAGGTTGGGGATGGCTGGAACCAATCAGAAGTGCAAATCGCGCAAGCGAAGCCGAGAAACGGACCGCAGCGCAACGACTAGGACTCGTGTCGGAGGAGTTTTGAGCGTGAGCTAACACTCATGCAGCGGCTCATTTGGTCTGCGCGGTCAAATCGGCTCTTTCAGGTGATGGAAGAAAAATAGTATTCTGGCACCACAACTGAAAAGGTCACCTACTTTTATTTCAAGTTCTTATGAAGTAAATTCCTTTGTGATTCAAAGATGTTTGATATATCATATACTTGCCAATTAGTACTTTGGATTCTTGCTCACTAATAATTATATTCTGACTGAGGTAAGGTGATCGAATAACAATCAAGGTCTAAAACATAACAACAAGCAGGCTAAACTATGAGAAGGGTTGATTTCGGATTCTCATAATTTTGAAGTCCTTCAGGTACAATTTCACTTACTTTTTCCGGGCTCTTTAAATTTTGGCTCCTTTATCTTAAAAAAGAATTATAATGTTCTATTTTGGGTACTGTTAATGGTAAGTGGCGGATTATGATGTTGCATTTTGTATTTAGAGCTGTTCTTGGATAGTTAGTATTGGGATACAAAACTTGAAAACACTTCAACTCTAGATTTAACTTTAATAAGTGACGTAGATTTCTTTTGTTGTTTTTGTAGTAACTTCTATCATATTTATATTATAAGATGATGATGTAAAATAGAATGACTATTAATGGTCGAGAACAATTAGATAATCTTCACTTATATTAATTTACCTAATGAATAGATTTAATTATGAGCTCAAATAAAGATCATTCAATATAACTAACTCTATTTTGAAATTTCCTATAGCATGTGGCAGACCATCTTGATTTTCGTTTCCTTAATGAAGTATTATGACACACATAATATCCAATGAAGAAGTTTCCACATTTTTGTGATTGTACATATGAAATACGCTTTACTTTAAAATTTTGTTATTCAGCTTTTGATTTATTGAATTGAAAATCTCAAGTCAAGAGTAGTAAACTAGATGAAAGGGCAAAAATGCAGTTATAATATGTTTTTATCTGGAAAGAGATACTCAAATTTTTAATGTTAAGAGGTAAGGCTATTGAAAAATCAGGTTTGACAGATCATATACTCCGTCTCTCCGTGTCATCATCTTTAATTTACTTGAGGTTTATTATCATTTTATTAGATCCAAAAGCTATAATGCCCAAGTACAAGAATTTAGATAGCATCAATTGCTATCTAAATTCTATGATCATACTTTAACAGGCCAAGAAAAAAGTAATCTATCCATAATATCTGAAGGTAGCTTCCTCTTAAGGGTATCCAAAGAGAAAAACAATGTGATTAAGACAACACATGTAATTTTATTTTTCTCACTCTTTTTATCGACCTATTGGTTAATACATATAGAATTTCAGAGATAAATTCTCCTTCACGCTTACAGATTATATTACGTATCAATAGAAAGAAGAACTTGTGTACCTAAATATATACCACACCCTTGCAAATTTATCTGGAATAGAGTTTTTGACCCAGTTTGCTAAGAGAGGACTTAAGCAAATGTGTACCTTTGATTTATAAGGTGTGTTTAGCTTAGTTAACATGTATGAAAAGACAATAGATAAAATTGAAAGTTCAATTCTAAAAGAACCACTTTAACAGTTTAACTTTCTCCTGTCTAAATATTACTCCCTCCGTTTCACAAAGAATAACCTCCTTTCCTTTTTAGTCAGTTTCAAAAAGAATGACCTCTTTCCTTTTTTGGTAACATTTTACTTTTTGCTTTCCACGTGACATGTTTAAGACCACAAGATTAAGGGCAATTTTGTACATTTGACATAACTTTAATTTAGGACCACAAGATTCAAAAGTCTTCTTTATTTACTTAAACTCCGTGCCAAGTCAAACCAGGTCAGTCTTTGTGAAACGGAGGGAGTATATTTTTATACATATTCTTTTTTACAATCTTGGTATAAATATTCAATTTTTGCAAATATTGAAGTTGATAACACTTAACATGAACTTGTGCTGGTGTGTTTGCTTTTAAATATTTGCAAGAACAACAAATAGTAATATTTGGGCAAAGAAAAATAAATGTACAAAGAGTTAAAGAGTTGATGTCCCTATGGCATATCGGATAGTTCAGAAGTTGTAACATCGCTAAAGTAGATAGTTCGGAAGTTGTTACAATTATTATTATTATCAAACTAGACATTGTTGCATAAATAATAGCGTGACACAAACTACAGATACTTTGTGGATTAAACAACTCAAGTGATCGACTGTTCCTAAATTTCATTTTGGCACTCCAACTCAACCTTGTTCCATTTTAACCCTTCGGCCATTTTGTTAGACCTCTTGATAAGGTAAAAAGGCGATTTGATCATCTTGAAGGAAATGACAAATTGGCGTAGTTCCAGGCTTAACATTAAGCACTACAAAAGGCAATCCTTTGGGATTCCAAAGAGATGTATCTTTGTGACATATCGATACTGCTTTAACTTTTGTTCCATCAACACCAATCATCGATACCATAAATGTCTTCGTACTTCCTCCACCATGACAAAAATGTACTGCATACGCGTAGTTAAGTTTGTGGCATACCATGTTAACCCCCTCACCTATTTGTTCAACTTCTTCAATAGTGTATTTTTGCAACAACATTTGATTTTCCACTTGTACTTCCGTTGCAATTACCTTAACATTGTTTGTTCCAAGCATGAATATCCCAAAATCTACCATAGACTCCAAAGAAGTTGCACAATTTTGCTTTTGTCCTTTCTTCCCTGGCGCTTCACAAAATTTAATTGTTTCCTTGATTGTTTGAGCGTCCTTTGAACTATTTATTGAGAAATGGTTTAGAATTTCTGGAATTTTTTTCGATGAGAAGGGAATCGATTCAACAAATTGTCTAGGCCAAATCGGTGCTTCGTTTTTATTTTTTAGAGAGGGAAAATTGACGATGTTTCCTTTTTCCAAGTCGTTTTCTAAGAAGTAAGGTTTGTAAAGGAAATTATTATCTTGAAAATCACTATTAATAATACTTTCTTGAATTACTTGTCGAAGATGTGCATTTGGGGTTTCCCTTTTTAGGTCATGAATCTGTTCATCAGTAGCAGCACTAAAAACCAAGATTCCATGTTGGTGCAAACCATAGTATACTTTCTCCTTTGTGTCACCAACGTCATTCTCTGTGGCAACATAAGAACAATTATTTCATACATAAAATAGTACGATTAATTTTCTATTTAAATGGACTGACCTTCAATTTTTATCCTTCAGATGAATCGGTGTTTAATTAATGCCCCCTCGCAACTGAATTTATATTTAGTGGGGCATAAGGTCTTTGAAAATTGAAAAGGCATGTGAAGAATTATGATACAAAAGTATATTTGTTATGATGAGTAAAAATTAAAGACCAACACCAAATAGTTTGGGGGAAAAGTACAAATAGCCCTAATTATTTTTCTCCAAATGGTTGAATAATTAATGACTAAATTAAGTGGCTTCAAAAATAGTTTAAGCAAAAGAGTAATTTAATGCGTAACAAAATGGAAAATCATCTAGCCAAAGTTTATCTGATTGACATAATTATTTGCTCAGATCCGATCGATATGTGGTATTATTTCTCATAGAATAAGTTCTAAAGACATTAACATGTTCACTTGGAAATATTATGCACCGGTCAATGACAATTACCTCCTCCATCTTAAATTATTTGTTGTAATTTTTTTACATCCTTCTTTAAAAAAATATTAACATAATTATTTAGAAAAAAATTTAAAGAAAAAACTATTTTAACCTTAATTAATATTTGAACAATCATAACACACGTTAGAAAAGTGACTTTAAAGCCTTAAAAGAAAAGGCAGCTTCCTTAGACCCCCTTTTTTTTTTTTGCAATAATAAGTTATAGGTATTTTAAAAATAAATATGAAGTATTATTTGTATAAAATGTAAATTTTTATATGAGAGAGGAATTATTAGAAGAAGTTTAAAGATTAAATAGATTGTATACACTATTTTAAAAATAAATTATTAAAAGAAACCGATTATAAAAAAACATATTAACAACACTAGAATAATAGATTTCATAAAAAGAATTTCAAAAAGCTTAAGCTTCCATTCGATTTTAATTTTAGGCCATCATAGTACTTGAATCGTCCTTAACGAATCACTAAGGGTATTTATAATATTGAAGAACATGATTCCGTTACATCCTTAAAATTATAATCGTCCTTAACACATTATAATTAAGGGTGTTTATAATCTTGAAGAATATGATTCCACATTACATCCTTAAAATTATGACATGTGACCCTTTTGTTAGATTAGGTCTTGGACCTAACTCACACCCCAAAAGATAGCTCAAAGGGAGGAGGATTGCCCAAGCCTTATAAGGAGTCCACCCATCTCATTAACCACCGATGTGGGACTTTTGTCATTCTTTAACACCCCACCTCACGCCCAGTGCTTAGCATCTGGTGCGTGGGCAATTTTGATTTTG